CCACTGGGATTCTAACAGTAACAGTATTGATTGTGACATCCGATACATGTTTATTGGTTAGTTCTCTTCGGAACTTAGGAACTTTTTTGACATGTCTTATATCGTTGTTCTCGGCGTTTGTTGTCTATGTCATGAACAAGTATTGTTTCTTCGAAGAGATGAATACGATTTAAAGCTAATAGTTGTCACCATAGACAACCCTAGGATGCTCGACACCCAGGGAGAGGAAGGGAGAAGAAGACTAATGCTTCGTTATACAAGTCCGAAGGAACAAACGAGGTCGGACCTTGCACTTCGGGACTGTCAATTTAGAGATGGTGGTTATGAAGGAGGTATACCGTCAGCTACCTTTTTAAAGTAACACCTCTCCGGACTCCGACTTCCGGATCGACCATACCCACACACACACACCACACACACCACCACAACACACACACACACACCACACACACACCACCACACACACACCACCACACACCACACCACCACACACACAACCATACACATACCACACACACATACCTACACCACACTACACACACACACGAAAACACCCACACACACACAACCAACACACCACACACCACAACACACACACACCCGCACACACACCACGCACACACACACCACACACACAGACTACGTACACACTCAAAGATTCCTCCGTCATTAAATGCCCGAACACATGTAAACATCACGACCCTTCAACAACAGTGTTCTCACCCAAGACGTATACACACGTCCGAGGACTTCAAAGTCATACGTACAAATATTTTTGGTCTGCTTCTATAAATTGCTAAATTCACACAACAGGTAAATAAACGGGAACTTCCTTTAGGTCAAACGTTCTGGATGAGCGACTTGATGTGTAGTCTGTGTGTCAATCATAAAAATCATGGTACCGGATAGATAATTAATATATGTGGACGTCCCAATATGTCACACACACCACACAACACACATCACAACACACACACACCCCAAACACACACACACCCACCACCACACTACACACACACCTAGTTGGAGTCTGATATATGCCTGAGTTAGAAAGAAAAATCTCAATGTCACGAACGATTAGATTCTGCGCAAAGACTCCTAGTAATACAACGTAGTCTGTATCGTTAAATCGACGTGTTTCCGTCGGGACCCTTCAAGAAGGTTGGTGACGTTATACCTCGACATAACAAAAATTATGGAAAGGGCTTATAACAGGGTTTGAATGACACCAGGCACGGGTTAGCTTGAACTGGGGTAGACCAAACGTTCGGTCTCGTTTTGTTTAGTACTTTGTTTATAAACCTTCGCGCAGTAAGGACTGGAGTACACCGCGGACGTTGTCGTAGTGAACGTCGACAGACTTCTTCGTGCTCCCAGGTTTGTACGTCGAGCGGCTAGTGGTTTGGTACAACTGCCAAAAGGAATTTGGTTGTTTGGCTTACCTCTGTCCTCGTTAAACTCCATTATAACGACGTAAGTTGACGTTAGATGACTCCACGGACGTCTTACTCGGACGAGAGTACAGGAAGTCCCTTCATTGGGTGTCAGATGCTCCGAGTGTACAACCATCAAGGTGGTCCTTATGTTTCCCTCTTCTCACCTCCTATCTTCGTAACTAATGCAAAAATGGTCGTTATCAAGTAAATACTTAACGACTACAGAACATTATAAAGAGTCGTACAGTGTACATTTACAAGTTTATGAAACACACGTACACTCACACCTGTAAAAATGTTACAATTCGTGAGGTGCTTCTGTGGTGTGTTCTTTCTAGATCATTCGGGCCAGTGTCCACAAGAATTGATAAGGAAATTTTTTACTGTAGAGAAGAGTAGATGACGAAGATGTGTAGCGTCAAAAAGGATAACGTAGAGGGTTTTTTCGAACACGGAGAACGTAACACAGTAATGAGGTCGCTCGCCTGTCCCTCCAGAAATTATAAAATTACTTATACCTCATTTACACCCACGTAATGCACCCGGAGTATTTATATGTTATTGTGACGAGATTATGCAGGAAAGAGATAGGGGCCACACACGAATATCCTCACACACGTGCACACAACTAAGGACACACACATCCACCAAATTTACTTTCATTCGTTACACCCCTAAAAATTAGGGGTTGTAGCAAAGTTATAAAAGTGTCAATCTGGAGAATAAAGATTTTTTGATCTCCATTTCTATTATTAATAAGTGTGTAATGTGGTGGAACGTCAACACTGACCAACCGACACTTGGCGTAGTGGGACAACCTAATGTAAGTCTCCGAGAGTAGTACACAGGACCTGCAAAGTCAGTTTGGTCGCCGTCTAGTCCGAGATATTATGTCGTTGTGAAGGAGTACAGGCGCGCCTCTTCCCTGGTACATCCTACCTAAATCTCTTTCTACACCGTGTAAACCTACTTTCGTGTAGTACTCAGCAGGGTAGAAAGTCCTAGTTACGTGGTTATATTGCACGGTCTACTTATGTCGGTTTGGTCTATAAATGTTGTTTTGACTCTCTGAAAGTTGGAGGACCTAAGTGCCAGACCTATACTAAAACTCAATTAAAATTCAGTTATAGAATTGTTGGTCTAATAATGACACTTCAGGTCTGAAGCTAATCTACAACACTCGTGGTTTGTGTCGTGGAAATCATAACTGAAAAAAATGTAGATTAGTGTCCTTACAGACCAACCAAAGAAGTAGGACCAAGACCACCTAAAACAAATTCTACTTTACAACCCGTTGTTTTGGTTCTTATCTCTAATAGACTTCCTTTAGACGATTTCCTATTAAACCCTTAAATTATCTGATATTTCCGCTATTATGTGTGGTAACCAGAAAGGAAACGGATCGAAACACAAAAAAGCCGTCTGCACTGATACAAAACAATTTTACGACTTACTTTGGTTGATAGGGCCCTTTTTAGTCTCGTGGCTGTAGTGGATGTGTTGGTGTGTCGGACGTTCTTAGCCGTGTGTTGTATGTACGGTGTGTGTGTGTGTGGTGTGTGTGTGTGTGTGGTGTGTGTGTGTTTGTGGTGTGTGTGTGTGTTGTGTGTGTGTGGTCGTCGTGTGTGGTGGTGTGTGTGTGGTGTGTGTGTGTGTGTGTGTGTGTGTCGCTGTGGTGGTGTGTGGTGTGTGTGTGTGTGTGTGTGTGTGGTGTGTGTGTTGGGTGTGTGTGGTGTGTGTGTGTTGTGTGTGTGTGTGTGTGGTGTGTGTGGGTGTGGACTCGACGTTCAAGACACGAACTAACTCGAATGGTAGGTCAGTAAGATCGTTCACCATTAGGCTTTTTGTGTAGAGGGGGTCAGGGACCGTGTGTAGTAATGGTTTCTTCTGTGTGACCCGAAAGAGGTGTGTC